GCAGCAGGCTGAGTGTGCCCAGACACTATCTGCAAGGCAGCTACGTGGAGGTAAATATACTGTATATGCTCATGAATCATTACTGTATAGGAGCAGTCTTAATGACAGTTGAGTTTGGCAAGAGGCATCCTGGCTTCTGCTTTTTAGCCAGAATTGAAGAATGTGTAGCATTATCCCTCCTCTGTGTGGCTAGTTAGTTCCCAGCTGTGCTGACATGGAGCTGTCAGGAAAAAGGAAAATTGAATGACAGATACATACCATAATTTTCCTTTCCTGACAGGCTCCATGTCAGCACAATTCCCACCCAGCTTGGTAGGACTAGTTACAGAACACTGAGGCTGCGGGTGGGCTCAAATTTAAGCTGGGTCCTGGAAGCATGGGAGGGGTGGGGCCCTTACCCAGCTGTGCTGACATGGAGCCCGTCAGTAAAGGAAAATTATGGTATGTATCTGTCATTCAATTTTCCGTTTTCCTCATCCCCCTAACAGTTATGGATTCCCTATGCCCACATTTTTCAGCAGTTTTTTAAGATGTGTAAGCATTTTGTGTCCATTTCACAATCATTTGTATATAGAATTCAGGGGTTAAAGGCTTGTTTGATATTTCACATCTCATAATATCTGTAATCAAACGTATTTCTACTTTTAGATTTCCAAATATTTATTTAAATACTCAATTACACCAGAGGGAGAACACTTAAACATAAGGTCAATATCTTTAAGTGAATTTACACTGCAACAGACTAAAGGAAAATACCTATGATATTGTCACAGACTTCATACTCATGCCTAGAGTGAAAGGTTAGGTTCTACTTGGCTTCAATTTTATAATGCTTTCCCTGCTTCTTTTTCTGTTGATCAAGATTTGCAAGATTTGGGTTGTGCATCAGTCAGAACAGGATCAAAACACATTTCCTCTCCTATTGGGAAACAAGCACTTTGTTGAAATATATCCTTCACGAGAGTGCTCTTGGGAAATCACTGTTTCACCGCAGAGTCGCATTTAGCATGGTACAGTTTTCTTGCAGATCCCTGAGATGTGCACTTGAGATGGTTAAAACATTCTCTATTCTTTATTGGAAATGTGAGCTATTCATTGCTGTCAATGGCTTTTTAAGCAGGAGTAGTAAATCAGAAGATGTGAAAGTACACACCAGCACAAGTCTTTGTTCCTTTTATCTGCATTAATAACACAAAAAATCTTATTTTTGATTATTACTTTGTGCTATCAACTTAAGTGATTGGTCCTAAAAAGTGGTTGTTGGCAAAATAAAAAAAATATTTTTATAAGTGTTTATTGGTAAAAGAGAACATGTGCGTGTAACTAATTTTTTGTGCTATATGTCCATTTTTCTATTATAACAGTTTTAAGGGAAAGGAAGAAATCAGAAACTATATTTTTATTATTATCCTATATATTTTTACAACAGCAATAAATGCAGCACTATATAGGGGTACATCAGACATACTGCACACTGTAACAATTCAGAATTTTACTGGGGAAACATGTAATAACATCTGGCAATCTATCTGGAAATACAAATAATAGCAGTAGACCAGTAGAATAATATCCATTTAGAGTAGAGAAAGGTTAGAACCTAAACTGATCACAGGACTTCCTCTACCTTCCTGTCCCACTATAGGTAACATCTCAGTTTATGAGTGTAGCACCTTCCTAGATAGGTTGCTAGAAAGGTCAGGTAAATTTCTTTTTTTTTGGCTCCCCTGTAGTCAGTCGAGCAGTGTGAGATTGTTTTGAGCTGTCCTATATTTATGTGGTTTCAGCCCATCCCTGGGAGAGGATGCCCAGTATGTGGCTGGGGAGGGCAAAATTAGTTTGAAGCTGGGGCAGCTGGGGTAGTTGTCCAGGAAGACAATGTCCCAGCCTGAAGGGCTGCTGGGCAATGCAGCTAAACGTTCTTACAGTAGCTCATTGAGGTCCCAGCTACACTATTGCCTGAAGACAGCTGGAGCTCATGAAGGAATTTTACTGAGGATCTGGTCTGGGAAGTTCATGGGAGAAAGGTCCTGAATGTACAACTTAGTGACTGTTGGCTTCTATTATCCCTTTGTGTATCAGTGTCAGTACTTGCTTGGATTGGGACATTCCTTATGGTGTCTTAGTGCTACTCATTTCCTTAGCTATTACTAGAGGGACTGTACTAAGTGGTCTGACAAGGTGAAGAGTGTCCTCTGATTATTTTACTTTGTAACCAGAGTATCCCAGAGCTGCCTGCACCCTATCTCAGTTCAACTTGCAATAAAGCATTAAAAGATGCCCTTAGACTGTTCATTGAGCCAGAAAGGTGAGTGCTGTGGTGTACCTGGCTGCCATTGCACTAGCTTGGGGAGAGATCCCAGGACAAATAGGGGTGGGGGGGGGGGGGGGGGGGGGGGGGTGAGCACTACACAGAGAAGAGATATAGAGGAAAAGGACTTTCCCTGGAGCCATCTGGGAAGATATAAAAATGAAAAACAGGGAGCGCAGAGCTTTTTGCTGGGTTTTAACAGATCCTTAGAGAAAAACGGTGTGAAGACAAATATGTGATGATGAGTGTATTGATTCCATTAAATCATAATTTGTTGAAAGTGAGAGAAACCTATCTGAAAACAGTCTGTGTGTTCTCTCTCTACAAAGTTTTTAATAATGCTTTGTACAGCCCCCTTCCTCTGAGGCTCCCTGCCATTTTATAACTAGCCAGGTATCCTGGCAGGTGGATTTGTGGACCAGAGTGGCCAGGCTACATAAACACCCAATTTCTTCCACAGGTGGAACTTCGGACCTAACAGAGGAATTTTACAATTTTAAAGGGAGACAAACCTATTTTCTTCACCAGGCTTCCTTGAACTGCCTTTTTCCACTTTCTTGGAGACAAAAAAAAAACTCTCATTTACCACTTTGTCTGTCATATTAGCCAATATTCTGTTATACACACAGATAAAGGGGTCTTATCAATGTCTTCACCCAAGGCTCAAACAACTTTCACCTAAGATTCATATATTTTTCTGATAGAAATGTTTGAATCTTAGGTTAAACTTTTATGACTTTTAGATGATCCTAGATCCTAACTTACCATATTTCAGGGAGTTCTGGTTGAATGCTCACACACATAATGGCTGTATGAGTTGCCATAAGAAAAGTTCTATCTCTGAATCAGGTCATCAATGGCACTAAATTACAATTACAGTCTCACGAGAGAGATGCACTGCCCAATTTCTAATTCATTTCTTTTGCATTTTCCTAATAAAATTTATAGCTATCAATGCAAAACCTCGGAAGGCTCCATGGCAAGGGATGGACTACTGACCTCCCTTCACACACACTAAATATTTGTTTTGAGTGGATTGATTCTTTAATATAAAATAAAACATTTAAATAGCAATTTGAATGCTGAAGTTCCATTTTTTTAAAATTTCAATTCAACCTTAGGCTTTAACAATGTTTTTTTTCTTTAAATGTGGGTAAAATAAGGCTGTAAAGAAATAGTTTCAGGGGGTGGATTAAACAAATTGTAGTTGGCAGCATTCACAATGTCTACATTTATATACTACATATTCTGCTAAAGATTTACCAAATAGGCTTTACAGATTTATCTTTGTATTAAATGCTATAAAGGCATCCTGAAATACTCCAGTAAACCCTTACAACATCATTCTGACATATGTATTTAAAAATTTCAAGGATTATCCAAAAGTTAAGTAATATGGATGGATTATTATTCCAGTGAATCAACTTGTTAATTACTTCTGTCACAAATGCAGACCCAGTAAAATCCGATTAATTTTCCATGTACAGTAAGTTGCTCAAAATGTGTTTCACAGATAATTACTGGAATACATTCAAGATAATAACTAAAATAATTGAAGTCACTTTCCATACAATGCTTGGTTGCTTGAATAATGTTTATCCTGGAAACTCTGATAAATCTTTTTTTGAATATGCCTGCAAAAAATTTACTGCAATAGTATCACTGTTAAAGAACACCTATCATCAGGAATATATGTAGATTTCCATTGCTGGCCATATTCTTAAAATGCTGTTTGTCTTCCTGTCATGTCACATGCATGCAGTCAAGAGTTCTAAATACACTGGGTGAATAATTCTTCTGGTCAGCTTTTCAAAGCAATTGGACCTGCATGAAAGCCAAGGGACTAGAAGTTTCAGGAGGAAAGATCAGCAGTGGAAGCCAACATGTTACTTTCTTGACAGGTTTCCAATAAAATAATAACTGTAAAATAAATACACATTAAACATATTTGTAAAGTATGATGAAGCCACTGTCACTAATAAAGCAAGATAGAGAAAATCTCAAAGGGAGCCCAGAGAGCAGAGAGTCCTTTCAAGGGTTCTAATCCTTCCCCACATTATCCAAAATAAATAATGTTTTGGCTTTACATAAAAAAATGAACTTACACTAAATGTCTGTGCCATTTGATTTGAGCGTGGAAAAATTGAATTGTGTGACTATTGCATGATACAATTTTTTTTTCTTGTATGACTGATTGGGTTACTTATCCTAAGTGGTGAGTAGGGTACTAGAGAGAACTACTTAAGAGGAGGAATGTAGTTTGGTGATATCCATTCATTATTCAATAACAAGGCTGGAAAAAAGAAGGTGACCCTGTAATGTACTGTGCCAGAGAATGTGAGTCATTTGAATTACAACTCTTTTGGCAGGGTTCTGGGTTCATTAGTCATCTGAACACTATCTACATAAAGTTTATGTGTTCACTGCTTTTTTTACATGGGTTCCTCAAGATTCTGTGGTTTCATTACCATTTAAATACATAGTGGCAGAAACTTTTGTGTTCCTGATAATACATTGTATGACTCAAGTACAATTAGTAATTAAAAAAAAATGAAATGCTTATGTGTTGCATTATTATGGATCTATTATGATTGTGCAGTATTTATAGGTATCATAATACCCTAATGTTTAACTTGACTGTTAATGTTGTAGATTGATAACTGCTAAAGTAACATTTCATTATTGTAACAGAATGAATAAAAGATATCTGCAGAAGGCAACAAAGGGGACAATTCTTATGATAATATTTATTGGAACCATCTGGGGAAAACTGACAACTGGAGGAATTCACCAAAAAAGTAAGTCACACTTGGACAGCTTTTATTAAGATGGTAAATATTTTAGGTTGGGAAGATGTGAAAGCTGCATGAAGACAAATGTAAAGCCCAACAATATTTATTGAAAACTGCTGCCAAAGATCTTTAGTTGTTTAAAGCTCTACTGTTAAATTGCATTTTCAAAATAAAACCTGTAATTATGTTTTTTGAACAGAACAGTAAAATCAGTCTGTATATGCAGTAAGGCATGCTTGTTATACTCACTGTGGAACCTAAGCGGTTAATCCTCCACATTGTGTAAAAAGGAGCTCTAGGAGTCACTCTGCATATGCTCAGTTTAGTGTGTATTTCTAGAGAATTGTTTTTCTTTGAGAGTGTACATGTAATCAGCACAGGACCAATCATCACTGTCCAGACAGAGGGTCAGGGGTTATACAGCCTCATAGGACAGAGCAGAATGAAAATTCCTCCTACAAGCTTTCACCACTGTTCAGCTGGACACTGATAGAAGGCACAAGACTGAAATATATTGCTGATGAGAAAAGGTATTCGGCAGTTTATATTTACTACAATAATTGCATTCCCATATAGTGTGTACTGTGGGAGAGCAGATATATTGAATGCAGGGTCCTGGGTTTAGTAACACTTTAAGGTCCAAGTATAGTTTGGTTGATTTGCACTCTTAGTCTCACCCTATGCAGGGATTTTCCAACTCACAGGATGACAGTCTACTCTTCAGGGGACTGATCACTAGAATAGGTTAACTGTAACCTGCAACTGCAACCCTGAAAAGGGTGTTTACAGAATAAGCATAACCAATCAAATGATCTCTGGGGTATGCTGAAGGAGTGTTGAGGTGTTTTATAATGCTAAAACAGGCATCCTGAATGTCAGCCTTTATTATTATATGAATATTTCAAGATGAACAGGTCTTACAATTTGACAGCTGATATTTTATTTAACAGAAAGAAAAAATTATTTTATAGAGACCAAACATGATCAAAATATATCACTTAGGAGGCCTAATGTGATTCATTCATTTGCTGAACATTTTAGCATGGGCATGTTTGGTGCCTAAGTGATTGGCATCTTCTCATACATCAGTGTACTCACTGTTTCTGACTATAACTCCATTTTAGCAAGAATTATCGAACTTGCATGAATCTTAACTCTGTACAGTTAATCAGTTTGTTATTACAAGTCACTGCTCTCAGTTGGACAGATATGTATCCTAGAATGTTTTGCAACAGAGCATTTATGTCATAACACCATTAGCAGTTTTTAAAGACTCTAATGAGGGTTAAGAACATCTAAGCTTTGATTCTAGCATGGGGATGGTTTCTGCCAATTGTGCTTTAAACTGGTCTGTGTGACGGTTGTCACCTTCTCTGCTTTATGTCAATATGTCTAAAGCTGAACTATATTCCATTCAGGGGTTATTTTAAGAGACTCACCATCTCTGACTGTCCACCACAGACATAAGTTTTACATCTGACCATTTTGTCATTAATGTGTGTATTTTGAAACAATAAGCCTGGCACTGTGTTCAATACAACTTCCATATTCCTTCCACACAGTCTTGAGCTCATCAGACCACATTATCATCACAGTCAAAAGTGTTTTCTTGTGCTCATGGGAAAAGAGACTGATCTTGTCTTTATTGCTAGTGCTTAGTTATCCCCACTTCTTGCTGCTGTGCAGCTTCGCTCTCTGTCCTGAGCTCTGCAGCCTCTCTCAAAGTCTCATGCTCTTTTCACCCTAGCCTGGCATTCTGCACCTCTTATCACTTCAGCCTGGCTTTCTATAGCCTCTTTTTTTCAACCTAGCACTTGAGTAACTGCAGGTACACCAAAAGATGCATAGCCATTATCCATTACAATGGTTTATGCAGCTGAGGTTAATCAATGTTGGTTATACAATCAGTCTAGTGCTGCCATGCTCATGTTGTGGACTGTTGCTGGTAGATTAGCCCATGTTGCTGGTAAATTAGCCCTTGTATCCTCACTGAGTTGAGCTGCAGAACCAGTTTAACTCCCCTAGCCCTTTAAACATGCTAAAAGGTAGCCACCACTATTTGTTTTAGCAGTGACAGTTTCTGAAGCAAGAGCAGAATGAACAAAATTGCTATAGCAAATAACAGATTAGCTGTAGCAATACTGACCTCTAAGAAATGTATGTGACACTCACTGCCATGCCCAGACAGGAATGTAGCAGTTTTTAAGTTCAGTTGCTCTCATGGAGGCAAAGATTCTTTGTTCCTCCTAGAGTATTCACAGTACAATGATACAGAGACCAGTGCTGATATCATTATGTAAGCACTGATCTCTACACCATTGAGGACCGCCCAGAGCAATAGAAGAGGAAAATGACCCTGTGTGTCATGTGATCAGCCTGAAAAATTCTGAAATACACGTGGGGGTGGGGGACATTGGAAGGATAGTAGGGAACTGGAACTGACTAAACATACAGTATGTGGATCATGCAATTATTGCCTCGTGTTTGCTTTAAGTTTTAAGGTTGCAGTTAGTTCTGCAGTAACATCATTTCTAATTGTGCATTTTCACCTGAAAATATACAGTATATGCCATTCATACTTAAAACTGGGGTGGTTATTATTTGTTTTGCCTTCCTGTCATTTTTAATGCAAATGTGCAGTTAATATTTAATGGTTTCTGTATTTACATGTTCTGTATAAATCTACTGCTGCAGGGAAGTTATTCTATGTACAGCAGAAATATTGATTGGCAGTGTGCAGTAACCAGATGCTGGGGGTCTTATGGTTTGCCCAGACACCCTAAAAAACAAAATTAGACAGCTACTCCAGTTACAAGGAGAGACCAGAGGTTTATCGCCTTGTGCTTCACACTGTGCGTATGCAGGCTGGTGAGAAGCAGTATTGTCAGGCAAGATCTTTCTGCTCTTAGGCTCCCTCAGGAAAGTGAGGCCACATTTACAGAAAACTGTACAGTATCAGTGCAGCCATCAGTGGACATGTCAGTGCAGCCATTAGTGGACCTGTCATTGAAGCTCATCAGTGGATCTGTCATTGCATCCCATCAGTGCAGCCATCCGTGGACCTTAGAAAGGTTGGTGTGAGGTGATGATTTGTATAATAGAAGGGAACTCTAATAGGGGCATATTTACAAAGTGTCTTTTACCAAACATTCACTGTCATTTAAAACATATGCACCATAAAAATTCACCTGCAGTGAAAGTTTCGTGAATGTCAGATGTGCTGGTTTATAAATATACCTCTAAGAGCACGTGACAAGATAAAGTGGGGGTTAGATTTTTTTGTTATTGACTTGCTAGTAACCATCTAAAGTGCAATAAAAATAGCCACAGTCATGAGAAGTTAACAGTTAATATAAGATCATTCCTTTCCCTTGTTCTTTACCACATTCCCGCCTGGCTTATAGCAAATTGATGGCCAGTCGGGCCGCTCATCCCTCTGAGTGGAAGTCCTATGACGTCCTGCTCATTGCGCCGCTTGTGTGCGCCCCCGGGGGTGTGCAGCATGGCGGTCACTTTGGAGCTATGTCATTCAGACACAGTGCTTCCCTGCTCAGGGTAAAGAGCCAATGAAAGTGGCTCTTTATCAGGTATCAGCTGAACATAAATATAAACAAACAGTGGTAGCTCTCTGTTGCTGGCTTCTCCTCCTCATACACAGATCCTGTGTGAGGAGGAGAGCCCGGGAACAGTGAGTTACCAGTTAACTCCCTTACTACTGTGCACCACACTGCCCTAATAAAGAGTACCTGTCAGTGCCATCAGTGCATGTGTTAAATCAACCCATCAGTGCATCTGCCAGTGCAGCCATCAGTGGATCTATCAGTGCAGCCATCAGTGAACATGTCAGTGTAGCCATTAGTGAACATGGCAGTGTAGCCGTTAGTGAACATGTCAGTGTAGCCATTAGTGAACATGTCAGTGTAGCCATTAGTGGACATGTCATTGAAGCTCATCAGTGGATCTGTCATTGCATCCCATCAGTGCAGCCATCAGTGGACCTGTCAGTGCAGTATATCAATGGACCTGTCAGTGCTGCCCATCAGTGGACCTGTCAGTGCAGCCCACAGTGGACCTGTCAGTGAAGCCCATCAGTGGACCTGTCAGTGAAGCCCATCAGTGCAGCCCATCAGTGGACCTGTCAGTGAAGCCCATCAGTGCAGCTCATCAGTGGACCTGTCAGTGAAGCCCATCAGTGCAGTCCATCAGTGGACCTGTCAGTGAAGCCCATCAGTGCAGCCATTGGTGTACCTGCCAGTGCAGCCAACAGTGTCCCTGTCAGTGCATGCATTAGTGCAACCTATCAACATACCTGTGACCACAGCCATCAGTGCAGCCTAATCAGTGTACCTGAGTAGCACTGCCTGGACCTTGAAGAAGGGGACATATCCCGAAAGCTTGTCCTCAAAATTGTATGTTAGTACAAATAAAAAAAGTATCACGTCAGTACTCAATTGTTTCTGTTGCAAGTGCACTAATACGGCTACAATCACCTCAAGTGAGATTTATGGAGAGCTTTCCAGGGACTCAGTCCGCTCAACAGAATTCCTTTTAGGGCTTTTTTGCCCATTTTCATTCATAAAAATGTAAAATTAACACAATGTTTTGCCAATGCAAGGGTTGTTAAACAACAGACACAATGGGGTTTATTTACTAAACCTGGAGAGTGCAGAGTCAGGCTCACTTCTGCATAGAAACCAATCAGCTTCCAGGTTTCATTCCCAAAGCTTAATTGAACAAGCTGAGGTTAGAAGCTGATTGGTTTCTATGCAAAAGTGAGCCTGACTTTGCACTCTCCAGGTTTAGTAAATAAACCCCAATGTATCTCAGACTTCTGGCTATTTTGTCGCACAGCTTTGTCTCTTCCTCTGTAGGACACAACTGCCCCAGTCTCAGCATCAGCATCAGCATCTCTGCTTCCTTCAGTCACCAGACTGCAACTGTTGGCTGCTCACATACAGTATGCTACGTGCTTAGCTCAACAAAACTTGTCTATTTTGATGAGTACC